TTCACATACATATTTACATTTTAACTCGTTGAGTACCGGTTTTATAGACACAATTAAAGAACAATAGGTCGCGGTCACCGGTGACCGCTTGGTGTTTGACAGATTAACTTTTGTGTTGGTAAATCTAAAGTACAGATCTCGAGTTATGTAAATAAACATTTAGAAGTTCGTGGTTTGTTTTCTCCAAAATACCTACAGCTCTACTACAAACGATGCCAAATACCCATAGAAATTTGCGTAAGTAAAAGAACATGCTATAGCATGTTCTAGGTATTTTTGTCAGCCATAGCCCAGGGGCAAATTTACAATACGGTACATATTGTATAATACACCAAGCCAACTTGTTCTTAAAAGTAGAATCCACTCAAGAAAAACGATCTAGAAACTCTATGGTAGGTCACTCTTTTTTCAAATAGTTTACAATTCTGAACAACATTATCTTATGTGTGTTTTTATAATAACTATCGTGAGACATACTAAATTAACTAAAAATCGCGGGTTACTCACATGAATATACTGAGAAAAGCTCTACTAGTTTCGAACTACAAAGGGGTTCTTCCTCATGAGCAGCGTGCGTGGTCGCGGCGATGTCGCGCAGCCTAGGTAGGCGTATATTCACGTGAGTAACCTGCGATTTTTAGTTAGTTAATTATGTTAACTATTTTAAACTCAACAACGTAAAAAAAGATTAGAACCGCTGAACAGAAAGATAAATAATAAATTACCTACAGTACATATTAGTACCTACATAAAATATTATTATGACAATAATACAAAATCTTATTTTATTTAGGTACCTTTGCCACATGTGGATATACTACTACTTCCACCTCAAATATCTGGCCAGGATACAATTGATACACCAATTTGACTCCATGAATTATACTTCCAAGTTCAACCCATCCTTCGCCACAATCACTCAAGACTTCGGATTCGGACCCCACCACTTCTAGCGCAAAAGTAAGGGTAAACACGCTAGGACCAAATTTAGACACGTCTACAACTGTAAGCTTAGACTGTGGTGTCTTATTCATTGGTTTTCTTTTAATTTACCTTGTATACATACGTTACTAAATTAATTTTACGTTTGACATTGACGATTATAATGCCACTGTTCAATTGATATACAGCGTGTTATGTATCGGATTTTCGATACATCACGTAGGTAGGTAGGTGCAAAAATTTTATTATCGAAGGACCACAACTTTGAATCGCATAATTATGACATATTTTCAATGGACCAACAAGGTGTACCTTGTATATATGTACAAAATTTAGAGTTCCGAGATTATAAATTATGTATAATATCAGAATAACAATCTTCATAATTTCAGTTGTTCATCAATGTTTTAAGTTTCAGGATATAGGTAGGTAATGTGATTGGCTACACAAACGAAGTATCGGAAATCTATCAACCTGTATAACACATTGGTTTATACGTATTTTTTTCAGTATTCACAGAGATTGTCTATGTTGTTTTGTAATAGGTTTATTACAAAACAACATAGACATTCTTTGTGCCACCTCTCATTGTCTCCATTCACGAATTTGGTATGAATACAATACGCGACCATATTATACCATACCATATCCGAGATTAGGTACGAAATAGTAAAAAATAAACAAAACGAATGTCATAATTTCCGAGTCCAAGTTTCTTAGCAGCGATTGATTGGCAGCGACTCTAAAAATCTGTGAATCGTACCTACATACTTACTAATAGTTATACATAAATAATATTAGATATTATGTACCAGCTTCTACTAGCAGCTTCACTCGCGTTTCCGGGGTAGAAAGTAGCCTATGTATTACTCCAGATTGTTTGAAAAATAAAATAAAACGCATTAAAAAAATAAGGGAGTACTGGATTTAAAATGTATAACACGTTTTCAAAAATATTACCTAAATAAGTATTTTATTATCACATTCTTAATTATTATACTTCTATTAAAACTAAAAACCTACCTGGATATCTCCTTTAATTAATCATGTCGTTACATTCGCGTTTCGCCAACAAACACTATAAGTAATTTAATAATGCACAAAACCAGTCCTCAATGCGCACAAGCAAAAAGCCGGGAAAGCTTATTATAAATGAAAATATCTGTTCCCATTACTAATTAATCCAAGTCTTCGGAGCGCAAACTTCATTATAACTTTGCTACTCGTGCAACTCGCAATCCTGTGAGACGATCAAACTCAATTGTGAGAGTCATTCCATCAGCTAATAGGACATTGATAATCTTAGCTTCGTAATCTCTCCAGTTACTTTCGGGGTACCTATTACTAATATTGGACATTTAGAGAATATTTCAAATATTAGGTATAACATCATTATCTACCTGTTGCTATCCAACTTTAGGCTTTGGATAAAAAACAATAATAAATAAAAGCAACAAAAAATTATTTTAAGAATTGGGCACAGAATACTACTTTGAGATTATTGCCTGCCTCGTTGGTCGAGTTGCCGGGCAAGGGGTCTCGGATTCGATTCTCTGGTTGGGCAAAGGTATTACTGGGTTTTGTAAAAAATCTCAGTAGTTATACATATATTATATTCCATATACCGGGCACATTTCCAGATTCCGTGCTGTCTAGAAATGTGCCTGGTATAATATGGCAATAGGCTCTCTCCCTATTACATGGGACTCATTAGCTACAAAAAAAAGTTAAAAGTGGGTGTTACATTGTACAGTGGCACTAAGTGCCCTAATGTGCACCTCCGCCTACACCTTCAGAGATAGAAGGCGATAAAAGTCTTGAAAAACTTCACAAAAGGCTTAGCTAAAATAAATCGTTGTTTGCAGCTAAATATAAGATAAAAAATAAATTAGACAGCAGATGTGGTGTAGGGCAAATGTTAGTTACTTCATTTAAAATACGTGTGTAAGAAACACACAATACACAATGCGCCAAGTTGTGTCCGCCCCCATCAAAGAAAATCTGGCCATGGTACGTGTTGAGAACGACCTATATTGTTTCATAAGCTTATAAGTATATGTGATAGGTAACATTATTTTAAAAACCAGATGACTTAAATGATGTCAGCGCAATGGCGGGAAAGAGGCGATTCGTGCCGAAATACGATTTAATTAGGTATACACCTGTAGGTATGTTATTCGGTCATTGTATAGATTTATGCAGTTGCATTATTAATTAGCTTTCTAATTAAGTAACTATATGATTTAAATGAAATGTACCTACGCAGATACCTACAGTGTGTAGATTTTTATTTTTACCCCTATTTGCTATATTTTATTAATTTTTGAACGTTTTGTAAGTTTAAATATCTGAGGTACCTATATCTTCCCTATTAGGTAGATACAAAAATGCCATGTAATAAAATAATTTTATTAACTAAAAATTGCGGATTACTCACTTAAAAGTACTGAGAAAAGCTCTACTAGTTTCAAACCACAGAGGGGATCTTCCTCATAAGCAACGTGCGCGGTCGCGGCGATGTCGCGCACTGACATCGCCAGCGATTTTTTCTTAATTTAGTATGTCTCACGATAGTTATTATTCACAAATTTAAATTTTTTCTGATCCATATTCCATAATCGGTCCCTTTTTTGCACATGCTGTGAATATGAGCAGCTTCATGTAGTAGCCATAGACAGCTTGGCAAAAAAGAATTTCACACGGTGACAGCTGGAACTAATATTGACTTGTATTGAATCACCCACTTCGGACCATATCCTTGCCATACCTACCCCATGAATAGATATTAAACAAACATTCGAACACAATACCTTCTCTTTTTAAATTCGATGCAAATATCAAAACCGATTGAATTGTAGTGTACCAGGTTGCCACAGGTCGATACTAGCGACCTCAATTATTCCAAACTCAGCCTTGTTCTGTAGGTCACCTTGAATCTAAATCACTCATAATTAATCGTAATTTTCTGAGATATTATGATGTCGTTTTACTTCCATTGTCTTTAGAAATAAACACAGCCTATTCTTAGACTTTTTTTTAAGGGGGGAAAATCATCGAATCACTTCTCCCGGCCTGGGTGTAGCAGAAGGGAGTGTCAGACTCTTACTGACTAAAAACCACCCCGTTAACCCGTTAGGTTCTAAGATCAGCATGTCAAACAGGTCTAAGGACTTTCACAATACACATTTGACATACTACAGCTTATTGTAAGAGCCGGTTGCTCTACAACTGCAACGTGTCACGGGTTCGATAGCCGTGTCACGATTATCCGTCAAGCAGGAAATTTTTCTAAAATACCATGAATACATCTGAGTCTGTGGTCTAAAATATAATACAATCAGTTCATTTTCACTTAGAGCGTAAATTGCTTCCTTTCCTTTTATTTTGATAGTGTTTTTTATTATAATTTAATTTAGAAATCCTCAATCACAGAATAAAAAAGGTAGGTAATTTTATGACATAAATATGTATGAAACCAAGTGACCAAGATATATTAAGTGAAACCTATAACCACCCATAATACTTAGGTCGGTAAGCTATTTTTGTACCTAAGTATTTATTATTTACATTCTAATTAAATAATTCAAATAACAAAGTCTCAGAGAGGTCAATATAAGCACTATGTACCTACAGATATTATTGTTGATTAGCATAATAGAATACAGAGTGAAACCAACATTCAGTCGTGGATTGTGTCTGGTCGTGTTTGACGGTATATTTTTAATAGCTGATACATTTTAATTTTTTGTATGCTTCATTTTTATTGGGCATCATAATTGTAACACGATTGTGTTTGTTGATAGTAATTTAAGAAAAAGGGTAAATTATGTGTTAAAATTCCACGTGATTATAATTTATATTATAACTTTACTGATATAGATAATTTATTAATATCAAATAATATTGGAACAGGCGCAGTTGCGTTTACGAAGAACGTCTCAATTTCTCTTTGCGAGAAAAAGTAAGGTTATGGTTATGTCACTGACTGTCAAAGTGCAATAATTCGTGACCGGTTCGGTGTTTATTTACAAAATAATTACTATTAAAAAAATTGAAAAATGTCGTTGTGGAAACTAAACAAGTGTATTTTAGATAAATCTATGTAAGTATTATATCTGTTTAATCAATCGTGCCTAAAAAAATGTCAAATTATGACAAATAATATAAAATATTTACGAATATTACAGGACCGTCGTATCATCTAAGGTTCCTCAAACGGGCTCTACACTTCCATTGCGAAGGAATCAAACCGAAGTACAAAAACCTCCTATTGGGCAGTCGTATAATAAAGATTCAACTATTGATGCCGCCGACGTGAAATTCTTTTCCCAAAAAATGAAAGACTGGTGGAATCCAAATGGGGATTTAAGTTTGCTACACAGCATGAATTTAATTAGGTAAATCTCGTCATCAATAATTATTAATATTTTATCAGTTGGAAAAAGAAATATTGTCTAAAGTGAGATAGTAACATTGAAATGTTTAATGTCATCATAACATCACGCCTTTTATCCTCGAAGGAGTAGACACAGGTGCACATTACGACATTTAATGCCATTGTACAATGTAATTTTCATTATTTGTGTTATTAGTCCCATATATTAGTGGGTGAGCCTATTGCCATATACCGGGCACAATTCCAGACTCCGTGCTGGTCCTGTGTTTTTTTTTTAAATACCTATAATACTTTGATTTGCCCAGCTTTCACATTTGCAACCACTTGGCCAACAAGGCAGTCAATGTGTAATTTCCATTGACCAAAATAGTATTTAAAAAATTTGTTAAAAATTTTCAGGGTGCCTTTTGTCAGAGATGGCCTAGTAACTGCTACAAAGAAAGATTTACATCCTTTGAGGGATAAAAAGATTCTAGATGTGGGCTGCGGAGGAGGCATTCTGTCTGAGGTAAGATTCAAAAACATTATCTTGTTTGATTTCTATATTCCCGATAGAGTTCTATATTCTATATAGAATGGCAGAATGGAATGCATATAAGGTGTAAACGGAATGCGCCCGAAATGCTAACAAATGTTGGCATTTTTTGCTAGTGTTCCGTTTACACCCTGTATTTTGTCGCTTTCGTATTTTTCTTGCTGGTATTTCACAAGTCAACTATGGAACTATACATTTGATAGAGACTAGGTTATTTGTTGGGCGCTTATGGGTCGACATGCTCCATCGTAGACCGCATCATCGCTTACCACCAGACTAGATAGTCTTCAAACGTTATCCCATCAAATATAAAAAGACTAAGTAGCAGAGCTCTCTAATAACTGATCTGCAACCCATCTGTTAGAACTAAAACAGCAAACACTCAAGTTCTCTTAAGTTCACTTCTGTGTCACATATCTTTTACCAAGTTACATTGGTCTATCCATTTTTGTCAAATACCTGTTGTAATAGTACTTGCAATAATTGTTACTGCAACACAGAACTAATTCAAGTCAACAAACCTAAAATTAGTCATGAGAATTGCCTAACAACAATAAGGAAATTGTTTTTGTTCACAAACTTCATTTATAATTTTAATTGTGTTGTTTTTCTATGTCATGCATAATGTTTCTGATTATTTTAGAGATAATAATCATCTGTGAATGCATGCATAATAAACTCCTTTGTACAATGATATCATACGATCCAAAACAAACAAGAAGTAATTTAAATGTTTTTTTTACTATTTGTATCTATACAGATCTATAATAAAGCGGAGTATCTGTTTGTAATATTGAAATAACCACTACTTACTACCTACATCTACATGCATAATTATGAGAATACATACAATACATTACATTTACCAAAATAACACTTACAATTTTTGTCTGCCTGTCTCAGACGAAGTTGGGGTATTCCACGAAGCGCACCTAAACGAAGCGCACCCAGACGATGCGCACCTAAAGTATTTAGTATTATTAAGTTAAAATATAATATTTAAAATAAATAATTTCCTATTCCACGAAGCGCACCTACGAATATCACTCGCATAGTGCGGAGACTAAGAAATAAAAATATCGATATAAGAACATATTTATTATTTAAAAGACTAACTTAAATTTCTAACATCATTCAGTTTCATTATAATAATGTGACACAATAGGTGCGCTTCGTGGAATACCCCGACGAAGTTGCAGGTTCAGCTAGTTTATTAATAAAAAGTGTGATAGTGCTCCATATTAACTGGTTAGTTAAATGGTTTTCTATCCGTTTTTATTTTACTAGGTACTTTTGTACATTTTATTTATTGTGTAATTTAACTATACATTTACAACTTACTTATTGTATGTCCAGTATCTTTCAAATGCATATATAAATGAGTATGACACAGCCAAAAGAAACATTACAAGATTTGGGGCCAAATCTTAAAAAAAATAAAGTTAATTAAAAATTTAAAAAAGAAAAAGTTAATTCTAATTTCTTTTCCAGGGGCTGGCAAGACTTGGAGCTACGGTCACGGGTATTGATGCTAGCAAAGATCTAATTGACATTGCTGAGCATCATAAACATGTTGATCCAAAAATAGCGGCTAACAAACCAACATATATTCACTCTACTATTGAGGTAAGCAAACCTTATTTATCAAACCTTGACCAACAAGGTATATTAGAATAGTTTCTAACTAAGGGAAGCGAAGGGCAGAAGCACTGGCTTCTTCTAGCCGCGCCTTCGCGCGTTCCCGAGGTCCCTTGAATTGAAAAGTAGTTTGTGTTATCATAATCTATCCCTGTTCCAAATTTCATCCCGATGCTCTCTTCATTTCTCTCGCGATTGAGTAACAAACATACATACAAACTCACGAACTTTGCATTTATAATATGTATTAGTTAGACTAAGATAAATATCTTGATTTTTAAATTTCCTACAGTTTGTGATATAATATTTATTTTTTGCTAAATTTCGATCTAAATGTCATTCCAAATGGCATTCCCGTAGTTGCTTGCTTATAAAGTGTATTTGGGCCCAAGTGCCCAAGGTATATAATAATATTGCTTGTAATTTAAAATTTGACTATTTTTTCTTTGTCATTACCTACTATTAGTTAGTTTATCTCTTACGCTTATCTACCTGAAATACTCATTACAATTTATGGACGCGTTTTTATAATATAAGAGAAATAGTCTTGTATAGAATTTATTCTTAAGGGAATTATTTAATAAAATGCATGTTTTCAATAACCGAATTGAATGTTTCAGGAGCACGCTAAGTCAGCATCCAATCTCTATGATGGAGTTGTGGCTTCGGAGGTGATAGAACATGTAAACAACCAGGAACTATTTGTCAAGTCTTGTGTACATACCTTGAAACCTGGGGGCAGAATATTCTTTACGACCCCTAACAGAACGAGATGGTCACAAATGTTTATTATATATTTTGCGGAGAATGTATTGAAAAGCGTACCCAAAGGGGCCCATCAGTATGAGAAGTTTATTACGCCTAATGAACTAAGTTTTCTGTTAGAAAGAAGTAAGTATATCCGACTGTATGTAGTTGTTCTTTATTATTTAAAAATTATGGTGTGTCCACATCGGTGCGTGCATATGTCATTAACCGAAATCACGGCAATTTTTTATGTGATAAGCCGATAAACGAGAAGACTGATCACGGTATGCAATCGGCTCCGCCCATGGACACCAGAAACACCAGAGGCGATACAAGTGCGTTACCGGCCTTTTGCAAATTGAGAATTTGAGGATTGTGCGGTAGCGCTTGCAAGCAGGTTATTCGTCAGATAAAAAAAAAACTGTATTATGCTAACGAGCTGTTATAAATTAGGTTTATTTGTTTACAAATACTAAAAAATAGAGATACGATACGAAAATGTATTTATCAAAATGTATAATTCTGAAATTTAGTACTGAGGTCTTAAGAGTTTGTTTTACGTTCGCGTTCGGCGCTCTGATTGGTTGGATCATTAGAGCCCGCCAATCAGAAGGCCGAAACTCGCACTAGGCCCTCTGAATCTAGTACCTAGGTATTTCGTGATTTTTTTTATATGAATATGTGGTACTGCTTATTCAGAAATAAGACATTATTTCTCTTTTTTGTTCCAGATAATTGCCATGTAGAACTGACTTACGGCGTGACATTCAACCCGGTTACTGGCCATTGGGACTTCTCGCAATTTCAACATCTGATGTACGCCATCCAAGCAATAAAATTAAGTTAATTTTCAAAGATAAACGCTTATCTTAAGAAAAATATCGGTGTCAGAGTTTTAAGTTTATTTGATTTTTAACATAAACATATGAAAAATGGTATAAACTGTTACATAAAGTATGACTTTTAATAGAACTGTTAACTTATTGCATTTAGAGTGTTATTTGTTGAACCTTATTCTTCTATGAAACGTGGTCCCTGAAGCCCTCCTTATTATGAAATGCACAGACTTTTTTGCATTTTACGTAATTACTTACATACATGATTATGAAATAGAATAAAACACGAAAATATTAAAACCACACTTCTTATTTAGAGCCCGTACACAAAACTGCGATGCGAAAATGTGCGAATTGATTCGCATCGCGCATCTGAATCTTGTCTTCCCAAAATCTTCTTTGTTTCTTTTTCCTGTAGCTCCTAAGCAATAACCGAAGTGCACACTTCTTTTTACGATCCATGTCACGACCTAGTTTTCAATTTAAAATATGTTTAGTTCGGTTGACGGTCGTCGAAGGAATGGTCACCCTTGCTTGAGACGCCATGTCGCACGAAATCGCATCGCAGCAATTCGCAACGTAAAATTTGAGTTGCGAATTCGCATCGTTCGTATCGCATCGCAGTTTTGTGTACGAGCCCTTAAAGAGACTTCAGAGTTTCAAACTATGTGTTACATACACTAGCGCCATCTGGTGAGTATACAAATGACATAAAATGACTGCACGGTTCGTGCGCTGGGCAATCGTCTACAGCGGGAACTTTAAGTTTTTTTTTTAAGTGGGGAAATCATCGAATGACTGCACCCGCCTGGGTGAGGCGGGAAGGAGTGTCAGACTCCTACTGACTAAAAACCTAAACCACCCCGTTCCTTCTTCTGCGCTTTGAGCCGTAGCCCCGCTAACCCGTTAGCTTGTCCGCGACATTCCGATGGGATGGCAGCAACTCTGTATGATCTATAAATTGTTGTTCCGGGTCTAGGTGTCATAAGTATGTGAAAATGTATGTTTGTAAACGCACCCAACCGCACTGGAAAATATCTAAGTATGGGGAAACGTTTAAAAAAAGAGATCTCGTTACTCACAGCTCCATCGACATATGGACATATGCACTCCTTTTTATGTACCTAAATACCAGAGAAGAGAAACCCAAAAAATCTGTAACCAAAATTGCTGTCATCCATGACGTTGTCATTACAAAATTAGAAGAAAACAAAATTGCAAAAATGCTTTAGGTGTATTGTGCTAATTATTTAATAATAGCTTTTAAGAGTAGTATATAGTGATAGTAGGTATATGAGTATGTCACTAACCAAGCTCTTAAAAGCTCCAGTAAAATTATTTAAGAAAGAAGTCATAACATTTGTGATCGTTCGAAGATATGACTTGGGGGGTAAGTATCTTTTTGTATCTATGTAAACGACCTGGCCAGACTACGCGACGCAAAGAAGGGTAACGTGTATAAAGAATTTGCTTAATTAAACGTTATTTGAACCTTTATTAGAACGTAACGTACACGAGTACACGACTGCATGCTTGGCGCATCGGCTGAGCAACCGATTGCTGCCGAACTCGTCACAAGTTCTTTTCCCGCCCCGAACTGTTCCGCGTCTGATTCTCAAAACAGACCTAAGTACCAATTCGGTAATCCGCATGGGACCTCTAATTTTTTTTAAGTTACCATCCATATGATATAAAGAATATTTCAATAGTTTGAATTTTAAATTCGGTCAAGGAGAACTCGTTTAAACAGTAACATATATATGAGGCACCTATTTTTACTGTTAAATAATTATTTTAGTGCTCGAAGACAGTCTCCGCTACATAGCAGTTAGGCCTTCGGCCTCGAATTCGGTGTTACGTCAAAAAGTATGGCATTTACTGGACCTGCCCGATTTTTGTGAAGAGGTCATCCTACTCAAGGCAAACAATGAAGTAATACCGCTGACCGAGTTAAGAAAGGGCAATGACCCCCAGAACCCGTTCGTCCTTGAAGTTTGGTTGCCTAACCATGATAATCGTCTTACATGTAAGTGATATTTTTATTATATCTGGTTATGCCCTAAAAAAAGAAAGCCTTTATTCAACGGTGCATCTTTTCCGGAGGACAATGAGATTACCTACATAAGTACGTACAGGCAGGACCGTCTTAACTACGCACAAAATAATTCGGGGTGGTACAGACGGTACTAGATACAGGTTTATTCAACCGAAAAGTCCTAATGAGTTAATCTCACGTTACTTACGTACTTCAGTAGATAGGTACTTGTGTTTTCATCACCTTTCTATAACACCTTTGGGAAAAAAGGTAGGTAGGTAACACGCTAAATGATTCACAACGTGTGACGCAAGTCATTTACAGAATAAATTATCACATTTAATGTTGACAATGAACGAGTATCAGCTACTGGTTACCAAATAATTTGATGTGCGCAATTAATCATGTACTTACAGCCTCAACGACTGTCCATAACAATATGCTGACCATCGGCAATGGAGAAAAACAATCGCAATTTTCAAATAGACATAAAAATGACACAACGATCTATGAGAACACCCTCAAGGAGCATGACGATAAATTCTGTGCTGGTACCTGCTTTTGTGAGTATTTTTAACCGACTTCCCAAAAAGGAGGAGGTTCTCAATCAGTATCTTTTTTTTTGTTGTTTCAGTCGTGAAATAGAACATTCTTATTGTCATAATCTGTTGTATTCCAAAATTCCAAAGGCGCGCATATTGGTTTGTAGGTCTACACAAGAGATGTGCCGACACAAACCGTTAAGACCGTTAAGAATTCGACCAACATCCTCAGTGCTAATAACTTTGGAAATGACGTCACCTAGCCCCTCATTGATCCATACTTCCAGGGACATCCTGTATAGAAAGTGAAACTTTTCCATTGCACCCGTCGCGTTCATTACAATTTGAACTTTCCAACAAACCAGTCGATCACGACACTATTTATTTATACAAAACCTTATTTGCATGTCAATAAGGATCATTTTAGTTTAATAAAGATCATTTGGACCGACCAAACATAAGGTTTACATACTAAAAAGGAAATTTCTATGCAAAGAAACGATTGTCATTAAAATATGTGTCTGTGTACCCAACATATGCATGGTCATGTCTCGACTGACAATTATCTGTCTATCTGATTAGATACTAAATCGGTTCTCCTTAAAATATCTTTGGAGTTTCTACCTACAAAATAACTACATAGTACTACATAGTACAAGTACAATTTAAAAACTGTGTACTAATTTAGGCTTTTTATGTACTCAAATGAAGTCAAATGAGACTTTCTGGTCGTCAGTATCACATATCTACTTCCACTCAAGTGCTTGTACTTAGCATAATGCCTTGTTCGCACTAAGCTAGTGTTTTAGTCGAGCGGTGTGTGTTCTGTTATATCCCTTGCGCTTCCGTCCCAAAACTGAAGCGAGAGAGAGTTACTAAATACTCGCTACTTGACTAAAATACTAGCATAGTGCGAACAAAGCATAATAATAGATAACCCATGACCTCATCATCACTTTTTAAACATTAACTCCGCGATTAGAACGTTCAAACAAATTTGCTATTAAAGTCTAATCAGTTAAGTAATATTTTTCAGCTCAATCAACACTATCGAACGAAACAATGGCGTTTAACAAAGTTCGCATTGCAGCCAATAAACAAACAGCAAACACTTTGCTAGCAGACTTCAAAAAGTCTGATATATCCTGTCGAATCTCCAGCACTTCACTCTTCAGACTGAATAGAGGGAAGAGTCGCGATAACTTTACGAATATTTTGTTAAAAATACAAAGTGATTTGTCTACGTTAAGTAATAAACTGTCTGTGTTGGAAAACAAGCTGCCCGCGTGAATTTCTGGTTTGAATGTTTAATTTTGTAACTGAATACAGGAATCATTGTCTTCTATTGTTCGTTTTTCTTAGTTTTTATTCATAGACTAGCCACCGGCTCCGGCTTCGCACGGGTGAAATATGCATGTATTATATGTATATATAAAACTTCCTTAAGAATTACTCTATCTATTAAAAAAACCGGATCAGATCCGTTGCGTAGTTTTAAAGATCTAAGCATACATAGGGACAGACAGACGGCCGACTTTGTTTTATACTATGTATTGATAAGACACTTTGAGTACTATTAGCCTCATTGAAACAAATAGATGACATGATAGAGGTCGCAGGGAGTTCGACGCAGATCCTTTCCAACCGGCCGACCTGGAAGTCGGATGACGTCATGAGTTGAAAATTTAAGAAACTCACAACATACATTTTATTAATATTAGTTTGTTTGTCGTTCCAATAAAACTGCATCATTTTATATCAATAAATACATATCTATTTCAAAAATAATAACATTTATAACATTAAACATGGTATAAAAGTATGATACTATTTTGATTATTATTTACAATTAATGTCAGTCCTAACACTGTTGCTATGTACAAGAATAATACAATAGAGGTATATTATGTGGACTAGTGTAACTATTATGTTACTAGTGAACATCACCTTTGTAACCAAACCGAATATTAACCTGTTTGCCTACCCCATGGTACAACACTAAAACAACTTTGAAGCCTGGTACAAATTCCGTTCAAAACATGAGCAAGCGACTTATTCACAACCAATAGAATAACTTTATAATTAGGTATTTTATTTTTGTACGAAAATGTATTAATTATTTTATTGTGCATTTAAATTTAAAAACTGTGTGTCCGATCTTAATGTGGAAAAGAAGAAGGTTCTGTACTATATTCGTTTTTATTTGTGTCCATCTAATTTATTAATCTATATATTCGTAATCAAACACGGACGGTTTTCAGAGCTATTGTTAAATATTTACATGTAACATATTAAGCTTCAATAATATTAGGAATTTACTATCTAAAGAGCTGCACAGGCTGCAGTTGATTTGTTTTTGGACCTAGCTAGAGGTATAAAAAATATTTTATTTAGAGTATTGCAGTAGATAAAGCTCATTTTCCTAGCGAAATTACGTACATCTATTAAACTATTTGTTCTGTCCACTCTTGCATTATATTCGTTTCTTACAAGCGCACATGTCCTACATATCTGCCTACACAACATCCAAAGCTTCTTTGATTTTATTCAGACTTAAGCATGCCTTACCTTTCCCAATTAAACTAATATTTGCTACTATTTATTTACCATAAAATGTACTTTTAAATAAAAACTGTAGAAATATAACAACAGTAATGACCAGCCAAACTTGAGGTTTAATAACGATTTCTTAAATACAGATGATGTATTCTGAAACAAATAGAAAAATATCAAGTAAAGGTAACAATAAAGAAAAAATCGTTAAAACAAATTAGCACTGATTTTGTCACTTCAACCTTCGACGAAAGCAAACATACTTGACCAAAAAAGAATTCGCAAGACCATACTTTTTAAGACTTTCGTAATGTATAAAGAAGAACTTACTTTATGCTCGAGGTTGTACACACTCTGTACACAACATTGGCTCATGACCACAAAGCCACACATTCGGTCCTGCATGCCGAGTGCGTATTCTATACTACGGATAAGATCGTTCGTTTTTAGCACCAGTAGCGCCTGTCTATCGACGTGCTCTAAACATTGTGTAACATAGTGCAAAATGTTTGGTAACTCATTTTGGAATGTTGATTTCTGAAAAAGAAGTATAATATTTACAATATGAAATAGTGATGGATTCATTTACTCAATCATTACATTGTAGGTAGGAATTGGCTTCTGATAACTTAATCATTAGGATTGTATTATCTTTTGTGACATTCAGTAACTACTGACGACGCGACGTCAGAATGTTTTCGTTGATTTCGTTTTTAGTAGAGGTGTCTGCGATAGGCCATCTAGGTTAGCAAGCCTACTAAGGTAGGCAGGTCTACGTAGCACTTTGACTCGACAAGAAAACAGGGATCTGAATAAGTTTGAGTGTTTCCGTAAAATAAATTGTTGCCTATGATAAAGCAGTATTGCCTAATCCAACCTTTGTGGACCTTATCTTTCTACATCTGTTTGAAACTGCTAAAAGAAGCTCGTGATAGCTACTCACCTCATCAGACGTTGGTCTCGTTCGCCCAATGCCTTTCATGATGGAGTCCCAAGGTCTCCCAGTGACCATACACGCGAACAATCCATATAACTCCTTTCGAATCCCCAACTCTTCCGCGTGAACCCGCATCTGATCCCGGTTGCGATCGATGATCGATAACCATAACTTTGAATAATGATACCTAAACTTTTCTGATAGTTGCTGAAAAAAAGTAAATGTTCTTTTGAAATAGTTATAAATGTATTTTTAATAAGATATTTTTGCTATTATGTTTTTTTCTTGTGTGGAGATGCGTTCACACCGAGTCCCGGATCTTGGACAACGATTTGGGCAATTGTTGCGTGTGGACATCAAAACCGCGATACGTTGTGTAGCAGCGGGTAATGTAGCAACCCTACACTATTTTCAGCAGTTTGAGCACTAGTTGTAATATAAGTACCCGACTCTATAAACAATATTAAACAACGTTAGCGACAAAGGTCTATAATGTAAAATAGTAATGCAAATCAAATGCGGCCTTGATTTTTTTTTATTTTAAATTCGTATCACGCAACTTCCGAAGTATTCGATCAGCATCTCTGTATTGTTCCAGAGTAATACATTATGTACCTAAATAATTCATAGATTCACAGATATAGATATAAAGAACCACCATAATAAAAACGTACGACAGTAAAATACGTCATTTGGTATTCTGCCAAGCAAGATCATTAAAAGTTCCTTCCGAGCATCATGTGACCCTTTTATTTTTTGTTATAGGGCTTAATAATAGAAATATAACACTACACAGCATTCATTATAAGCAGTAAATATACTGAACTAATAATGCAGTAGTGACAATTGGCCACTGTGCAACGTATCGCGGCGTTCGATTACCGCATGGAACAATTTTTGTGTTATCCAAAACTATGTGAACCACATCGAAGAAATTCTTGTGTGGGATCACTTTTCGTATAACAATAGAAAATCTATACATCTAAGCACACATACATAAAATTGGAGCGTCTGTTTGTTACAATTTTTGTCTGTCTGTCTGTCTGTTTGTATTGGCTAATCTCTGGAATGGCTGGACTGATTTTGCAAGACTCTTGGCAGGTAGCTGAAGTATTAAGGAGTAACATAGGTTACTTTTATTTTGAAGAAGTGAAACAAAAAGTCTGCCTCGTTGGCCGAGTGGTCGCAAGTGCGACTGCCGGGCAAGGGGTCTCGGGTTCGATTCCTGGGTCGGGCAAAGTATTACTGGGTTTAAAAAAAATTCTCAGTAGTAGCACGGAGTCTGGACTTTTGCCCGGTATATGGCAATAGGCTCACCCCCTATTACATGGGGCTCATAACATAAATAGTGAAAAGTTGGTGTTACATTGTACAGTGGCATAATGTGCACCTCTGCCTACCCCTTCGGGGATAAAAGGCGTGATGTTATGTTATGTATGTGAAACAAAAAAGTTATGCTCTAAAATTCATACTCTATGCGGAAGAAGTCGCGAGCAACTAGTAACACTACAACAAGCAGCTAGTATTACATAAAAGATGTAATCACTACACAAGCTACTGTTTAAAAATATAAATAACTAGCTTTTACTTGCGGCTTCGCTCGCGTCACAAAAGGATAAAAAGTAGCCTATGTGACATATATACCAATACACACAGCGCCATCTATACCGATACTTTTATTTTCCCTCGGGAATATCAAATTTTTCCGGGATAAAAAGTACCCTATTATTTAATCCAGACTTGTAACTTCACGTCTGCAAAAATTCAAAGCAATCGGTTCAGTAGTTACGGCCTGATAGTGGAACAAACAAACAAACAAACATACTCACTTTCCGATTTATAATATTATTAGTAAGGATGCATCAAACCATTTAATTTTAGCAGCGCAGTAATAAATCAATAATAAATTATAGTAATCATTTTATATCTGTAACTACAAGAATGATTACTTCTAACAATAAATGAAAGTATAATAATATTATTCATGTATCTTATGTACAGATTTCATTAATAAATAATAATTTCACTGACAAATGAAAACTCTCTCATAAAACTCATATTAATGAACCACCTATATGAAATACTTTGCTACAACTTACAGCATACAAACCGTGGTCCAATAAATAGACGGTGACATCCTTGTCTTTCGGATCCCTCTTCACAAGTATGTTGCCCGGATGAGGGTCACTGTGTACGAAGCCACTGACGAATATCATGTGCGAATACAGGTCACCCAACTTCCTACATAGATCAAATCTGTTGATTTTATGTTCCTAAAAACAAATGAGTTATGTAAATGTTGTGATAAAGATTGCTTCAAGCTGATTGATTTAGAAGGCTTTGAGTAGATGTCTTCCGGCTGATAAGATAAAGGTGAAATGACTACATAAGTACGAGTGATTTCCCATCATCTAACAAGTTTTAACCTTTTGAACGCCAGAGCAAAAACACATGAACCTGCCCTCAACGCCAAGCCACAAATTCCGCGCAAATTTCTACGGAAGAAATAGGGATTCCAATAGGGAATCAAATTGTTGATTTCGTGTTTCCGGTTCCGCTTTTTCTGTCATGTATTTGTGTCGTTGGCGTCCAGGGACAGTTTTCACTTGTCACTTATATGTGACATCGGCGCCCAAAAGGTTAATGTAAGTGTATGTTTGTAAATCTCTGATCTAATTTTAATAGATATTGATACAAGGATAGATAGGATTCTTAGAACTCAGTCTCTAATCTGTTATAAGTTATTTAACTCATTTAAAATTTATTCATACAAAAATAGTCATGAAACATTGGAAATAAGGTCTATAATGTAGTTAGTGGAGAGTGGGTTAACTGATCAATCCCCAAGCGGTGACCACCCTCCACTAACTTCATTATAGCCCTTATTTCCTTGGTTTAGAGACTGATGATTTTCAACAATTTTCAACGGGTTGAAACTTTGAACTTTAGAGCTAGTTAGTTATAGATAATACTGTGAAGGTTGAAAAATTGTCTTCAATTTGTTGACAAAATCTACATACACATTGAAAGGCAGGTTAAATCTAATTTCACAATGACTAGTTATTTATACAACAATGTCAATATAAAACTGTATTATGTAATTCAGTAAATACTCTTACATTATAATTGTATTATCAACAGTACTTAGGAAAAGTAGTTGATGTGGGTCAAGGTTACTCATACATTTATTGTGTTATAATAATTTGCATAACATCATGGATGTTATATATGAAAAGATAGGCCATGGTGTCATTATTTTCAAAAAAATTTAAGAATAAGATTAAAATGACTTTTAAATTATTTTAGCACTTAATGCATCATGTATAAATATCATGAGATAAATGAGAAAATACTGTTAAACGATAAGTAACTATTATGAAAAGTAATCAATTGGCCTTCTATAACCAGGGAGCAATAATTGTACCTTATTTCATAATACACTAACTTCCTACTAATGTTCATTCATGTGCAATGTACAAAGGCATTGTGAAACTAAAGGGTTTTGTACTGGATGCTATTAATTCTAATACTTACATCAATATATTTTAGATCATTCACTTGGCCACCACTCACATACTCCATTACAAGAACCCTCTCAGTACTGTATTCCCAAAAAATCTTTGGTACCTTCAACCAATTATAATTTTTAAATAAATCGGCAACCCTTTCAGCATTTCGACCTTCTTGAAGGAAATCCAACTCTTTTGCAATATTCTTTTTGGTTTCATCAATAAGCCATTGTAGTTCAAAATCAGGGAACACTTTGGACATGGTTGTTATTATGAATTCCATCCATTTTAGGTCCATTTTGACATTATCTCTTACAAAATAATGTTGAACTTTTACAGCAACATCTGTGCCATCTTTCAGCTTAGCTTTATGTACTTGTGCTAATGATGCTGTGCCTAGAGGTTCAGGCTCAAATTCTTCAAACAAATCTTTAGGCTGAAAGTGAAATTGTGGTGTAATACTTTAGAATGCAAACTAGACAACTGACTGTTTACACAGCCTTTAAGTTAACTTCTTATTTAAATAAGATTACTTACATCTCGTTTCAAATCTTCTTTCATAACTTTATACAGCTCTTCAACACTGTTTCTTGGTGCATCCTTATGAAGTATTCTCATTGTTTTCACATACTCATTGGGTAACAAGTAGTCCAATGCTCCTACATGCTGTCCAACTTTAATATATACGCCTTTGTTAGCTTTACATAGCTCGAGCAATTTCTCTGCCCCAATTTGATGAGCTTGACTCTTGACCTCCAAATATTCTTGCGAGCTTCTATCCCATTCCCTGCTGTATAACATGGATTTGTACGTTCTTCCAATTTCCACAGCTGTGAATGCTGTCCTGGATAGCCTAACGACTGCCAATGAATCGTAATCACCATCGTTGAGTTTCACAGCAGCAGTAACTGTACCACCAATAGCTACACTACCATAAAGTCCGTACTTAACCACACGCGGCAACCTTCTCGACAACATGTTTATTAAGCTATAATTATTTTACCACGTATTAGTCACATATTACTATTAAAGTTACTATTTTTTAAGCAAAGCTATTCGAGAGACGACTCACGACAGCCCATGCAAATAGAACGTGAACAACCAACCAATGTCATTATCACGAAATCACGATTGTTTGTCAGTTGACAGTTCAGTTCACTCAGCGGCAGCCATTGTCAGTGTCATGTCATAAAAGTATTGCTGTCAAAACTACAAAAGTAAGGGGTGGGGTATGGGGTGGTCAATGTACCTAATTTTTTTTATGGGTTATGGGATATTTTACAGTAAATACAAATTAACATTTAAAAATTATCAGCTACTAGGGAAATATCAGACGATAGATTTATTCAAAGTATAATTCTAATTTTAGTTCTTTTTAATTTTATGTTTACAGATTTCAGATATAAATATGTATGTCGTTTAAAATTTATTTGAATTAGTTATTTTCTTAATTGTTGCTCCCACAAAGAACTAAAATTAAAAATATTTATTGTTCACCGTTGTTTACACAGTACTTAATAGTAGTTAACAATCTAATGATATAAATAAATTAACCGTAGTACCTACACAAATGTAATACATTTTACCATCGATTTGAATCGCTTACAGTACTTACAAAAACACAAAATTGTTATATATAATTTACATAACATAACATACATAACATCACACCTTTTTATCTCCGAAGGTGTAGGCAGAGGTACACATTTCGGCACTTAATGCCACTGTACAATGTAACACACACTTTTCACTATTTATGTTATAAGTCCCATGTAATAGGGGGTGAGCCTATTGCCATATACCGGGTACATTTCCAGACTACATATAATTATTATCGAATGATTCGTAATCGAAATACCTTTGATTTCGAAAGCCCAAACCTTTAAATCCGCTTACTGATAAGTTTATTAAACCTATCATATATGTCGGTGCCGTCCAATATTTTTTTACAACTACAGTTCGGTTGCTGGTATTTTAGAGGTTAAGGATTTAGGTATAGCAGTCATTGTAGATGGGGAGATTGAGAAAGGAGGAACACAATCGTTGTTTCACGCCGGATGCACGGCGGTTCTCTGTGCGGCCGTGGTCGCCTATGGTAGTCACCGTAGTAGCACGCTGGTCAAGCCGACCTATTTGTGCTGAATAAAGATAGGCATTTTTTCTATATACTCAAAATGAATAAACACTCAATAAACTTCTGTTTCTACTCAACTATTTCCGTGAAAAATCGCCCATCTCTGTTATACGGTTTGAGTACAAAATATTCTGAAGAATTTTAAAATTATTAATGTTTGCATCTATATAATTAATTTATAATTTTCACTATAAATAAGTGTACAAATAATCCTAACAACTTCATTAAATAATTATTTTGCAAAGAGTTTCTTTTTCATCGAGTTTAATTTTTTTAGTGTGGTAACTTCCTATGAGTGACGCCATCTTTCTTTTAGGTCAGTGTTCCGCTTCCGTTGACAGATCTTTTTAGATTAAAACCTCCGAAAATGAAGGCTAAAGGAGAGGTAAGTCTCGAAAAAATATAGAAAACATGTGAAAAAAGTGCATTAAAATAATTAATTTACAACAATAAGTAATATTTAGTGGTTCTAACATGAAAGACAGTGGTTAAAAAGTGTAAATGTTTAACGAAGTGTGGCGTACACGTTGTCGGTGCATTCTTTTGAAATTAGTTTACTTGATAATTCTTAGTTTAATATCTTAGTGAATATAAATACATTGTTAATCTAAAACTAAATTTAATTAACTCTTCAAAATTACATTACCTTTTGTGCCTATAATGTTACAATGACACTAAAAAATAGATGCGCTTTTAGGTTATGTCATGTTGTGATGCGATCGCTATGTTTCAGCTTTTTTATCTCTTAGTTCCAAGATTATAAAGACGAACAGAGAATTAAGGTCACATATATTTTTGGATCGTAGTAATAAAGTTTCGTGTTGGTTTCATTAGGTGATCGTAAAATAATGTGAGTTCCAACCTAAGGACTTGGAGGTAAGCATGGTTTCATGTGTAAACATTTGTTGCAGTTGAAGGAGTATGAGGTCATCGGCCGCAAGCTCCCCTCGGAGAGCGAGCCCAAGCCTCCTCTATACAAGATGAGAATCTTCTCCCCAGACCAGATTGTGGCCAAGTCCCGTTTCTGGTACTTCTTGCGTCAATTGAAGAAGTTCAAGAAGACCACTGGTGAAATCGTCTCTATCAGGGTTAGTGTGTCTTTATATGTATGTTATTGTTTTGAAATGATTTTTATGAGGAGTAAAAAGTACCTTTGTTTCTGTTTTTGTTAGTTTAGATTTTTTAACCTAACTCATTATGATTTCTTCTGCATACTTACTTCTCAATACTTAAGTTTAAAAGTTAAAATCAATGGGCATAAGTTATTAGTATCTTTCAAAATGAATTAGTCACAAAACATGAAGTTATATTTTCACATGGTTTTCTTTTGCATTCTGCACCTATTAGTTTTATTTTAAAAGATTTTATCTTGATCTGTGAGATAGCAATCGGAATCTGGGCATAGTGACTACACTTACTCCTTCTTTGACACTCCTTTGTTGAGGTCATACAATATACCCTGTTACTAAGCAAATATTTAGAAATTTAAATTAATTGGATATGTTAAGATAAAGATAAAGATATTTTTTATTTGCGTTATGTTACAAGTGTACTTGGTCCGATACTGTACCTAATCTTTACTTCAGACCTGCCTATGACAAATGGAGTTGTGATTGGCACTTTTGCTGACGACACTGCAGCCTTAACTACCCATGACGAACCAAAACAAGCAAGTAACATGCTACAACTCTCCCTGGACAACATCACGGAATGGCTCAATACTTGGCGTATAAAGGCGAATGAGACAAAGTCAGTACAGGTGACATTTACGATGCGACGTGGAACATGTCCCCCAGTAACGCTGAATAGGCAACAAATACCTCAAGCAAATGAAACCAAATACCTTGGACTGTATTTGGATCGTAGCCTCACCTGGAAAAAGCATATTTTTACTAAAAGAAAAGCACTGGGAATCCAACTGAGGAAAATGTATTGGATGCTCAGCGGAAAATCGCAGCTATCACTCGAAAACAAACTACTGTTATACAAGAGTATCCTAAAACCGATCTGGACCTACGGAATCCAACTCTGGGGCACTGCCTCAAATTCTAATATAGAAATACTCCAGAGGTTCCAGTCCAAAATGCTGAGGATAATTACTAATGCTCCTTGGTTTATAACTAACCAACAATTACACCATGACCTTAAAATCAGAACGGTTCAAGAAGAGATAAAACAGTCTATGATATCCTACAGAAAAAGGCTCAACAACCACCCAAACACTCTAGCAATGCACTTAATGAATATGAACTCCACATTCAAAAGGCTAAAACGAAAGGCCCCTAGAGACCTGTAAGGGATGAATTCTAAAGGGCCCACGTCGCTGGACTGGTGACCCTACAAGACAAATTAAATTAAACTCTTGACCATGTGCTGAATGTTCGTTAGAGACAGATTGCAGGACAATAAAATCAAAAAAAAAAAAAAAAAAAAAAAAAAAATGTTACAAGTGTAAAGTGGATAATATTGTACTAAGTAACCTGTACCTAGATTTGTCGTCAGAGATATTAAATAAATATTAAATAATAAAATGTAGTACCTACAGATGCCTGACTGATTTGAGGAATAAAATGTTTGATCCATTTATGTTAATGTCTCTACTGAATGAGCATAATAAAAGTTCTGTTATCGAAAAGTATGACAATTGTAAATAAGCTTAACTTTCATTTTAATATTCCAGGAAATCCCAGAGAAGAGCCCAGTGAAGATCAAGAACTTTGGCATCTGGCTGCGTTATGAGTCTCGGTCTGGCGTACACAACATGTACCGCGAGTACCGTGACCTCAGTGTCGGAGGTGCTGTCACTCAGTGCTACCGTGACATGGGAGCCAGGCACAGAGCCCGTGCTCACTCCATTCAGGTGATCATTATTATTCAAATTGAGAAATCTTATAGCATGTATAGTAACATAACAAAACATCATGCCTTTTATCCCCAAAGGGGTAGGCAGAGGTGCACTCAGAAGTGACACCCACTTTTCACTATTTATGTTATGAGTCCCATGCAATGGGGGTGAGCCTTTTGCCGTATACCAGGCACATTTCCAGACTCAGTGCTACTACTGAGATTTTTTTAAAAACCCAGTAAAAAGTACCAGTTTATAGTTTAACTCGTGGTATGTAGATCCACATGAGACACAATGTATTTTATATTGTGTGTCATATAAAGAGATTTAATTGAAAAAATGTGTTGACTTTGTGTGTAGTAAAATGTTTGTTCTGTCTGGGAATCTAATAGCAATGTTCCTTATGATTTCACTACTTGTTTTTCTGTACTTTGTTGTAAGTTTTATGTTAGCATTCATCTATGTAGTTTGTATCATCTATTTCGTTACATGTTTTGTTGAGATAGTGTGCAGGGGGTGTTTTACAACTTTTACAACAAATTACATCCATACAAATGATAGGCATATTTATCTAAATGGCCTGTATGTAATTTGAATATTTATTTTCTTATTTATAGATCATCAAAGTGGAGGTCATCAAGGCGTCTGCGTGCCGCCGGCCGCAGGTGAAGCAGTTCCACAACAGCACAATCAGATTCCCTCTGCCCAAGCGCGTGCACCACCACAAGCGCCTCAACACCTTCGCATACAAGAGGCCCAGCACCTACTTCCTCTAATTTTATTATGTATGCTGTTATAATAACATTAAAATCCACATTATGATGTGGGAAAAAAAATATTCTATTTTGTTTTAATGTTTTACCCAGTATGCTAATTTAATGTAACAATATTAATCAAGCCATTGGTTCTTCAAATCGACGCGACGCGAAATTTTCCATTGAGGGCTGATCAGAAGCTGATTAACTGCTCTCCTATAACATTGTAGACCTTATTTCCGATCTTTAGAGATTACTTTTGTATAAACAAATTTAGGGTACGATATTTCCTAAAGAGCGCAGGCGCTTGCCAAGTTTGCTTTAGGGATTATAATGTTCTGGGCCTGATGGTGGTAATGTCGCGTGAAGTCCGTTTTGTCCAATAATTATAACTGTCTGACACTAGTAAAGCCCCGAGAAGACACTGGAGTAGCTACTCCATTATATAATTTATTTCCGATACTTCGAGACTACTTTAGAATAAACAAATAAGTTACTAAAAGCAAGTTAACGGGTTTTGATCTGACACTCCCTGCCGCCTCACCCAGGCGGGAGCAGTCATACGATGATTTTCCCCCCTTGAAAAAAAAAACGGGTTTTGATAATAACTCTGACGAAGCTTATTGCATTTAGACGTTTTTACTTTTCTGGATCTGACTAGTGTAGATAAATCAATTCCAATGTAGGTACAAATAAAATAACAGCTTGAGTTTATTTTTTATTGCCAATAAGTAAGATATTTATATTCCGAAAATACACATCTATTAAAGTACGCAAAAATGTAGGTAAAAAATAATGTCATAATTTTATTGAATAGGTATCTATCAAGGCAATTAGGTACCTAAAGAAAACTTACAGGATCCTGTGAATTAATAGTAACTTATTTAAGAGCATCAACATCGCGAATATTAGATCTGTATTGGGTTGTTCCCTCATGCAAAAAACAATATGTCAAAACTCTTCAATACATTCAACTTTATCAAACAACGTATCCTAATATTTTCATTAATCAATTTAACGACATTACATTTCCTTAGAAATATTTTTTTTGACTAGTTGGAAAGTACCGAATTCTACACAGACAGTAGATACCTACCTACTTGTTTTTACATAGGTAGTATTGGCAGACACATGCACTGTTAGAACTGAAATTAGGTACTTAGATGGTTGGTATGTCATTAGTATAGGAGTTTACGAGTTCTGCCGGATATCATTATCTTAGTCCCGATCGATTTCGATCATGGTAGCTAGTCTAACTAGACTAGCTCATTACGCAGGAGAAATTGTTGTGCGCAAAGACAAGTGCACTTTCTGTTTCCCCACTTGCATTATCGTTCTATCAATTAAAAACATATTTAAACAATAAATCCATTTCATTCCATTTTGATTAATTCCTTTAACTGTAAGTAAAAAATTTCAATATCTTAACATTCCCTGTACGTTCGAACGTATCACACATTTTCTAGTTCCTTTCCATGCAAAATCTTAAGCCTAATTTACAAATTGTTACACTAATTACTAACACTATTTGATTCCAATTAACGCAGGGCCTGTTTCACAGTGACTGATTAACTTGCTGTTAGCTTAACTGAGTTATTTTAAAACATTTCATATTATCGAATCAAACATTAAGTTATTCGTTAGATTAACTGAAACTTACCAGCACTTATGAAACAGGCCTAAAATTAAATTGGCTTATTCCACAATAACCAGTATTTGTGTACTTTAAAAAAACATTCTGTGATTCTGTGATTTCCATTTTCCATTTAGATTTTACTACAGCGTAGGTCATAAATATAAAATAATATTATTATGTCATTTAACCTTATAGACTTTATCTTGTCTAGTCAAAAGTTTAAAAGACTAAGATATTTTTATGTTTTTATAGTAACTATCGTGAGACATACTGAATACACCAACTGAGAAAAGCTCTACTAGTTTCGAACTACAGAGGGGTTCTTCCTCATGAGCAGCGTGCGCAGTCGCGGCGATGTCGCGCGGCCTACTGGCTAGCCGCGATTTTTTTGGTTAAGATTTTTTTAGTCATTCATAAAACATTTTTACGACAACCTTAACCTTCACTGACAGCTACACTCATAGGAGTAGCTAGTAAACCCATCCCCCAAAATCGTGGGCATATTTTGCTCTAAACTAATCAAAATTAAATTTATGCTAAAATTTAAAAAATAAAACCGTAAGGACCCATGATATATTAACTATGTAACTTATTACCGGTGCAATGGATTTGTAACATTATAATATACTAGCTTTTGCCCGCGACTTCGTTCGCGTGGAATAGTGACTTCCGGCAGATTTTTGGTTTTACCCACATAGTTCCGGATCTCTTCAAAAATTAAATGTGGAAGATATTCTAGGGAACTCTTCAAAAATCAACATAATGAGCTCTGCGTTTAAATTGAAGATATGTATACTCGCTTAGGGCATTAAATCCGTTATTGCCGATCGAAAAAGGCGAAAATGTTGTTATTCTCTTATTTTCAAAATATAATTTTGATTTGCCATTTCAGAAAAAAAGACTGTCTCCCTTGACAAATTACCTATTCCCTTAATAACCAAGCTTAAAACTATATAATTTAAAAGGAACGATCTAATTAATTTAAAAATTAAAATGAATTTAGACATACAATTTTAGTATCTACTAATAGTCGAGATCAAATTATCAATCAATCGAGATCAATCCTCAATTCCACGACAGTACCGAAGCACTCGGCCGATACCCAACCAAATGCGTGTAACGAAACCATAGCGCGATCAATATCAATCCTAACGCCATCTATCGAGCATAGTGACAACTCGGATTATTTATCTATACTCCGTTCGGGCATTTTCTTTGTACTAAAAGTTTTATTATATTGATTTTTTTTTTCATACCTTTTAACCATTTATTTACTTTTTTCCGATGAATTAAAACAATAACATGAACCGAACTCGTGTAACTATCGACACCATTGCGCGATCACCAACTCGACATAATAGAATTATCTATGCTCCGTTAGAGCATTTTTTATGTACTAAAAGTTGTATTATATTATATTTTTCATACCTTTTTACTATTTATTTACATTTTCCCGTTGAATTTTCAGTACTGAATTGATGCCGACTCTTGACAAATAGATGGCGCTGTATGTATAAAATATTTTTTTAATTATTTTTTGTAATAAAACCTAGTTCCAAACTATGTCTATACCAAATTTCACACAAATCGGTTCAGTAGTTTAGGCGTGAAGCAAAGACAGACAAACAGAAAGACAGACAGACAGAGTTACTTTCGCATTTATAATATTAGTTTGGATAGTTTGGATTATATACTTTGCATACTGACCGCATCTAATTAAGGTGACTGACATAGTGGTCTATCAACGCACAGCCCAAACCCTGGGCGGATCTGGCTGAAATGGCGACATGCAGGTACATGTTATGACGTAGGCATCCTCTAAGAAAGAATTTTGATAAATTTCACCCCTAAGGGTGGAAAATTAGGGATAAAAGTTTGTATAAATCTTCGTAGGTTGTCGACTGATTTGAACTGAAATGGAAGATTGGTGCTACTATGATGAAAACGTAATAGGACTTTGATAATTCGATTAAATAGTATAGGACCCGGGAAAGGACGTCTGAGAGTTTTCAACCCGGAATTTCCACGAGAACGGGAACTATGCGTTAAAGTCACAGGACCTTTTAAACCACTGAGCATATTTAATTGAAATGTGATACAACGATAGTTTAGGACCTAGGAAACGACGTATCTGTGATAGATTTTATCCCCTGGAACAGGAACTATGTATTTAAACCCCGGGACTCTCGAGAATTTTGTATTTTTTGAAACCACGAAAATAATTTCATTCCACAATAATAAATTAATAACTTACTGAATCGATTTTGACGACATTTGTTACAGCCGTAGAATGTATCTCGGAAAAGACAAATTCTGCCATAAGTCATTATTCTACACGGACAGAGTCGCAGGCAATGGCTAGTAATTCATATTTATGATCCACGCTGTATTGTATATATTTAAAACTGTGACTATACAAGATACTAGATGTCATAGCAATTTAAGTAGAGACAGCACTGCTAAAAAAATAGCATCATACATACATACAGTACAATATCCGGCGATAAACATTGCACATCGACCTTTGGAACGATACCTACAATCGGCCAAGTGAAGGCAATCTACTCAAGCATTCTACTCGAATCATAAGATTAAAAATAAAAAGTTTTGTACAAAAAAAATATTGAAAGTATTACAAAATATGTCTAATTGCAAAGGTCGGTGTGCAATGTTTATCGTCGCGTACTGTACAATTTAAATTGACACAAAAATATTAGTTCCTTTTTTCAGTCTACACACAGACCGTAAAGGCGGAATCTCTAAGTCTAAATAATATCAAAACAAAATAAAAATATTTCTTCAACCTACTTACATAACTAAAAAGCATACTTTGTAATAGGGTATATGACATTTTTTTTAATGTCCATCTTTTCTTGTAGATACAAATACCTAATTTCGACGATATACTGATTTGAAATACCGTGTGACGTCACTTCTAGGTATATTTTTATACGTAGAAATGACGTAGTTAGGTCTCACTTCTAAACTTTATTCATTTTATTTATGTATTGTTTTCTTACACGACAAGATAAAAAAATACCTGTCTAATATTTTTTAATTACCCAACTGACGGACTATATTGTTTTTTTTATATTCATACCCCGTCATCAACCCTTTTCTAAATAGTTATAACAAGTAGGTACAAAGCAAATAACAATTCACCCACTTGTAGAGGAAAGCTATAGGTATTAAAACATATGCAATGATCAATAGGAGCCGAACAGCGGGTGAAATCGCGCGGTAAATAAAAAAATAATAATATCCAACAAAATATAACTTTTTTAAATTCAATTTGATATCGGCGAATGTCGCCTCATATAAAGTTGTTAAAAAATAATTACGTAAACGAGTAGAATCTATGGTCTGTAACTAGAGAAAAGTAGAC